ATATATCCCTTTTAATGGGAAACCCTGGCAGATTTTTTAAAATCCTCTCACCTCTAAAATCCAAAAAAATTGTATCTCTAATAATGGAATTTCCAGTAACATGGAAGACACTACGAGGGTAGGGAACCTTCAAGTCCTTAAATCTCTTCAGGTGACTCCTAATCACTAGAAGGAGAATTGGAAGTGATGTATACTCTAGATAAGTCTGAACTTTAAAATGTTAAAATTTATGTTGAGTAATTTATGTTTTTGTCTTTACACAACTACATTACTATGAAGCTCCAATCCTAATTTCATCATTGATCTGGAAACACTAGTTTACTTTTTATAGTATTCTTTTCTTTTCATCACTAAAACATATTAGGCATAATATATCTAAGAACAAAGGACCCAAATTAAACAGACAGATATTATGGGGAAGGAAACCAAGGACTTCACATCCATATCCCCAAACTACTTCTTTTCAGAAAAGTTATAGAAAAATTTGTCTCTAGACTCAGATTTGTTTAACTACCATGGATTACTTATTTTTCAAAAATGGATTTTAATTTATGGAGTTTAAATTTCACCTATAATTGCTACTCATGGAGAAATTAATTGAATTCTTTGCTTTTGTGTTCTCCTTTTACTTATAGATCTAATAATAAAATTGAAGATCTTGATATATGAAATATTATTCCTAGGAAGCATTTAGTACAAGTGAACTAATTATAATAATCAATTATTTAATAATTTATAAAAATAATCTACAAAGCACAACTTACCTCTTTCTTCCCAAATATGTTTGCTTCCTTTCCTTATTTCCATCAGTTCTCCTAGTCTCCTCATTTTACAGATGAGCAAGTTCTTCACTGCTACCAGCTGAATCTTCCTAATTATCACTTTCACTTTCCTTCATTTCTACATAAAAACTTTCAATAGCTCCCAGTATGAGACAAAAATACCTTAGCCTGACATTTGAGGGGATAAACCAACTGTAATAAGACCATTAGCATTTTTCAAGTGCTGACCACATGCCAGACGTTGTAACTGCTTTACATCATTTAATTCTCACAACAACCTCCAAGATGTAAGAACTATTATTGGCCCCCTTTTCCAGAAAAGGAAACTGGGTATAAATAATTTTAGTATCTTGTCCAAAGTCACATAGATTTCAAGTGGTGACCTTGTCACCACCTCCCAATAAACCACTTTCATTCACAGTTCTATGATTTTTGTCCATACTCTTTCCCCTTTTACTGTGTATCCAAATCCCATTCATACTTCAAGGTCCAGTTCAAGCCTGACATGCTCTGATTTCCTGTTCTCTAACCACCCTGTGGCATGGACTTCCCACTCTGCCAATTTTAACCCTGAATCACAATCTCTCTGATAAATAACTGTTGAATGTGTCTACACCTTACCATTTCCCACTTAACAACTGTCCAGAGGGCAGGAACAACCAACTGTACCTATAACAATACTATGCTCATAATGGGCAGTTGATAAATCCTTGCTAGAAACATGAAAGCAGATAACCATGCAAAATAAATGCTGTGAACTTCATAAGTACTAGTTTTTCAACCAGTGTTTGTGAACACACACATGGTTACACACAGGTATATCTTTCTGAAACCTCTTTAAGTTATGTTCTATGGGGATATGGGAATGATGTAAGCAAAATATTAGCAAAATACCAACGTATTTTTAACCTTGTATTGAAGTATAACATACACAAAAGTGCAAAAATTATGTGTGCAACTCAACAAATTTTCACCAATGAACATACATGTAACTAGCAATCAGATCAAGCAAAAGAACATTACATCTCAGAAGTCTTCTTATACCATAAAGGCAAGTACTATTCTGGTCACTAACACCATAGATTAACTTTATCAAAACAAATGACTAATGTTATTATTACATTTTCTGAGGAATCAAATATCTTGCTCAAATATGCTAGTTTTTTAAACATGCAAGTAATGGTTCACTTTGCCTTGGTCTCTCAGAAAATAGCCTTGAACAAATATTGTACATAAATTCTAACTGAAAATTGTTGGTGATTGTTAGAAGTTGGTAAATCACTAAGCTTCCAACACATACAGTTTGTATGAAGTATGAAGAGGGACCAAAAAAAATTATTTTTTGGAGGGCAGGTCCATTGTAGTACAGGCTTCCTCCACTAGGTAACTGTTCTGGGAACCCATCCGCAACAGTGTACCAGCTATTGTGTTGTTAAGAGTCTGCGTTTGGCTTCAGTGAATTTGTCTTGGAGATTCTTTCAATGCATTTGGCCATTTCATGATGGGCAAATTACACAAACAACCTGCTCACACTGAGACGAATGTTCAGCAATTTTTGACCAAAAATGGCATGACACCCCATCCTCCTCCCCCCTCACCATGTCCTACACTCCTTATTCACCTGATCTCACCCCAAGCAACTTTGTTTTCCTGATGAAAAAAAGTCCTCAGAGGGAAACATTTTGCTGAAGTGAAAGAGGTGAAACAAAAAAATGGTCAAATCACTAAAGACATCAAAATTGATGACTTCAAAAACTGTTTTGAGCAGTGGAAAAAGCATCTCAATAAGTATATTGCATCAAACAGAGAGTGATTTCAAGGTGACTGAAGTTTAAACATGTGAGAAGAAACACACAATTTTGTATAAATAAATTTCAGATCATTTTAGGTCCCCTTCATACAATGTTTAAGGCCTATAGCAAAATAGGAAAAAAAGAGGCAGATTTCATATATTATTGCCACCTGTGACAGTGGTTGTGTCTACAGACAAAACATCTTGATGAAAGGTGACATTACCTGTAACTCACAGGAGAAAAATCCATCACATCAGTTTGGTAACACCTTGGGAGCTTCCTTACCTGCCCAGTCCAGGAATTCAATACACTCAGTCTGGGAATACCTAGCAGCAACATCCCAAGGTCTTTCCTCCCGGAAGTTCAAAGCTTCTATATCAGCATCCAGTTCTACCAGTGCTTTTAAGGTTTCCAAACGACCCCAGGCTGCAGCCCAGTGTAAGAGAGTATACCCTATCAAATAGAATGAAAATGGGCAGACCAGGTAGACTATATTGTTTCAGGCTCTTTTATGTAATAGAAGATCATAATGGCTATCAAGTTTTGAATAATTACTATGGACCAGAAGCCTTTCCAAGAGCTTTACACAGAGTAAACTATGAAGCTCCTATGATGTGAGAAGTTGCAATCCTCATTTTATAGATAAATGAGGTATAATGATAAAGGAGACTACCATGAGCATAATTTTAAAGGTGATAAACATGAAAGTCATCTTTAAAAGGTTTTCAGACTAATTTTAAAAAATCAAATCAAATATCATTGAACTTACCCACAAGAATACACAGACATATCTAATTATATTGCACTTCACTTTATTGTGCTGAGAAAAATAGTTCTTAAGCTTTCTAGAGACTCCCAGTTTTGATTAAAGAGATAGACTTGTATGCCCTTAATCTCTGTGTCTACTCTGAACCTTTTGGTCTTTCCAACACGTCAACAAAGGGTTGTATAGTCACAAATTCAGTTTTTGTGGGGTTTTGTTTTGTTTTGCTTTGTTTTTCTAGAGCATCCTTTTCAGGCAGTGAATCTCTTAATTTTAATGTCCTTACCATCTAGACAGACTTAGAATTTCCCAAATTATCAAGTCCTTCTATCAATTTATCTCCTTCCTCTAGCATTTCACTATAAGTAGCAAGAAGAAACCAAGATGCACCTGCAACACTTAACTTGGGAATCTCATTTCTAAATTAGACAATTTCATGGTGGGCATAAATCAGAATGAAAAAAAATAGATTATTTTAGCATACATTACATTCTGGAAGACTGTATGCCAATAACTCCCACTGGAAAATACCTACTAAAAGACTGGCAATATTCACATGAATCAATCATAATATAACTTCCCTTGCATACTGTTAGGGACATACTGTCAAATATTGATTTGGGGCACTCCTTTTCCTTTATGTAGCATGGTTTTTAGAAATTATCCCATTTTTATAGATGAAAAGATTATATAATTTGCCCAAGTCTTGTAGCCTAGTTAGTAGATGATCATATTTTTAAAATCCATGCTTTTAAACATCTATTATATAATCCTTTTGTAGCTTGATTTTTGTCTCAACGTTATGTTTTCTAGCGTTACCCATTTAAAAACCCAAATTTATTCCTTTTAACTATTGTATAATATTCTGTAGTGTGAACAGATCATAATTTATTTACCTACTTCCCTATTAATTTATGTTGTTTCCAATTATTCATTGTCATAAGCAATACTTGGATAATCATCTTTGTACAAATATATCCTAGTGATCAGGTATGAGAGTTTCCCACAGATACATATCTAGAAATGAAAATCTCAATCATCAAGTATGTCTGTTCATTTGCAACTTTATACAAATGTTCTCAAAAGTGATTTTACCAATTTACACTCCTCCAGTAGAATGAAGGAATCCCCATTTCCCACACCTTCACTAGTACTTAATGCTGTCAAATATTTAAATTTTTCCCAATTTGATGAGTAATTCATGTTAGATTATTGTTTAAATTTGCATTTTAATAGTTATGTTTCGTATATTTGTTGGAAATGAGAGTTTTTCTTTTATTTACTTTCATTTTTATTTTGTTAAGTCAGACTCTCACTCTGTCACCCAGTCACCACAGCCCCAACCTGCTGGTCTCAGGTGATATTTCTGCCTCAACCTTCCAACTAGCTGGAACTACAGGCATGTACCACCACACCCACTAATTTTTTTAAAAAAATTTATTGTAGAGACATTTTGTTAAACTTGATATATTATGTACAGTGTCAGGAGTTCTAAAAATTAAAGTTTTAATTGTTAGTTTATACTATAAAATATTTAAAGACTGACAGTATATAAGATTATAAAAACACGTATGTATAATATATATGTAATTTAAATTCCATTAAATATGCAGATATTTAATATATAATAATAATAATAGTAAAATATAAGGCAAAAATAGCATTAAGGTAGGGAATGGAAGTATGTTATATTCAAGTTTCTATATTGTACGTGAAAGTAAACTGTTTTGGGGTTTTTTTTTTTTTTGGAGTTGGAGTCTCTTGTCACCCAGGCTGGCGTGCAGTGGCACGCTCACAGCCTCTGCAGCCTCAACCTGCTGGGCTTAAGCGAGCCTTCCACCTCAGTCTTCCAAGTAGTTGGAACTACAGACACACACCACCACGTCCAGCTAGATTTTGTGATTCATTGTAGAGATGAGGTTTCACCCAGTTGCCCAGTCTGGTCTCGAATCCCTGGGCTCAGGCCAGATAAAATCCTCAGATGTTAGGGTTACAGGCTGAGTCACCACACTTGGCCAAGGTAAACTATTAAAATGTATACTATAAACCCTAAAGCAACATAAAAATCAAAGATTTGTAGTTAATAAATTAACAAAGGAGATAAATAGAATAGTAAAATAACCCAAAAGAAAACATGGAAAAAGAGGGGAAATAGAGCAAGGAAAAAGTGGGAAAAATAGAAAAGTAGCAACATAATCATTTAGAAATGAAGCATAATATTGCATTAAATATAAATTATCTAAACACCCACAATAAATGGTAAAGAAGAGTAAGATTCAACAATAAACTACCTACAAAATAACCCACTTTAAATATAAAAATACAAGCCAGGCACAGTGGCTCAAGACTGCAATCCAAGAACTTTGGGAGGCCAAAGTGAGAGGATTTCTTAAGCCCAGGGGTTCTAGACCATCCTGGGCAACTTGGTGAGATCTGTTTCTATAATAAATAAAAAATTAGCTGGATGTGGTGGCATGCATCTGTGGTTCCAGTTACTTGGAAAGCAGAAGTGGAAGAATTGCCTGAGCCCAGCAGGTTGAGGCTGCAGTGGCTATAAGTGTGCCACTGCACTCCTGTCTGCGTGACAAAGTGAGACTCCAACTAAAAATAAAATAAAATAAAATAGATTAATAGAAGAATAGCCCAACAAGCAAATGGAAAAATATTCCATGCTCATGGATTAGAAGAGTCAACATTGTTAAGATGTCATCCTACCCAAGTCAATCTACAGTTTTAATGCAATACCCATTAAATTATCAGCAGTATTTTTCTCAGACCTGAAAATGACAATATAGGAATTCATATGGAAACGTACACAACCACAAATCTCCAGAACAATCCTCAGCAAAAAAAAAAAGCAGGAGGTATCACATTCCCAGACTTTAAACTTTATTATGAAGCTACAATAATCAAAACAGCCCAGTATTGGTACAAGAACAAGAATATAAATCAATGGAGCATAATACAAATTCTGGAAGCAAAATCTCAATTTCTCAATCAACTCATCTTTGACAAAGCTTCCACCACCAACCATGGGGAGAGGAAAATCTATTAAGTAAATGGTGCTGGGAAAACTGGCTGACCACATGCAGAAGGCTAAAACAAGATCCCTACCTATCCCCACACACAAAGACCAACTCTAAAAGACCTAAACATAAAACCTCAAACTATAAGAATCCTTATGGAAATTGGAACTGACAACCAATTCCTGATCAAAACCCCAAGTGCCCACGCCATAAGAGATAAGATAAAGTGGGACCTCATCAAACTCACAAGCTTCTTCAAAGTCAAAGAAACCATCAAGAGAGCAGGGAGACAGCCCACAGACTGGAAAAAAAATATTTTCCAATTATATGTCCGACAAAGACCTAACGTCTAGGATCTACAAGGAACTCAAATGTGCTGAAATGAAAAAACAAGCAAACAGCCCCATTACGAAGTGGCCAAAAGATATGAATAGACACTTCTCAAAACAAGACATATGAACAGTCAACAGGTACAAGAAAAAAAGCTCAGCCTTCCTGGTCATCAAAGAAATGCAAATTAAAACTACACTGAGATACCACCAAACTCCAGTCAGGCTGGCCATCATCAATAACTCAAAAAAATAACAGATGCTGGAGAGGATGTGAGGGAAAGGGAACACTTCTACACTGTTGGTGGGAGTGTAAACTAGTACAGCCTCTGTGGAAAACAGTGTGGCG